ATGTTGCATACTGTACAAAGGGCTGTTGTTGCTTCAGTGCATTCCACTGAATATCCAATCATTCTGAAATCAGAAGTGAGAAATGCTACTTAATATTGCTGCCAGTGTAGCCTGAAAACTCCTTTAGAGTCACAAAGGCCTGTGCTCAGACACACCTATGTTCTTGATTGCCACAACATAAGATTTCAGGATGAAGGCTAGAAAGATGGCTCAGAGGTTAAGAGCAATTGGCTGGTCTTCCAGAGGCCCTGAGTTCAATTTGCTGCAATCCACATGGTGGCGCACAACCATCTGTAATGAGATCTGGTGCCCTCTTCTGGACTGCCGGCATACATACAGACAGAACAGTATATACATAATAAATAAATAAAATCTCTTTTAAAAGATTTCAGGATGAATCAGAGAGAAGCACAATTAGTGGGGTTATTTGTTAAACATCAACATAAGATACATTTGTAAGAGTCAAGTGTAAGCATTAGAAACCACTCCTAAATGTCTCAGGAGCAAGTCAATAGGTGATTTGACGGCTTTGAAGCTACTTAGTCTGCAAGTAAGCTTAATTATTACAGAAAATACATGCTGATGTATTTATTTTTCTTTTCCAAAGCATTTTATACTCAAAGATGAAAACTTTTTTATAATTTTTATTTAAATTAGAAACAATCTTATTTTACATATTAATCCCAGTTCCCTCTCCCTCCCATCCTCCTATGCCCCCCACCGACCTTCCATCCCATCCCCCATCCACTCCCCTACGTTCAGGGGGCCTGGTTCAGTCCTATGCTGCTTTCTCAGCTGTCAGTCTGGGGTCCATGAGCTCCCCCTTGTTCAGGCCAGCTGTTTCTGTGGGTTTCTCCAGCCTGGTCTTGACCCCTTTGCTCATCATTCCTCCCTCTCTGCAATTGGATTCCAGGAGTTCTGCTCAGTGTTTAGCTGTGGGTGTCTGCTTCTGCTTCCATCAGCTACTAGATGAAGGCGCATTTAAGGTAGCCTCTCCACTATTGTTTAGGTTCCTAATTGGGGTCATCCTTGTGGATCTCTGTACAATTCCCTAGTGCCAGATTTCCAAAGAGCAAATCTTTTAAAGTACATTATATAGATTAGCAGCTGGTGAAAGGAATGCTAGTTGAGATAAAAAAATCATAAACAAAGGTTATTTATTCTGTTTACAATGAGATAAGACTTAAGGCATAGTTTATTAGCCATCTTAATAACTTTGTTTATATCTCAGAAAAGAAATTACAATTATTTTTGCAGGTAATCTGGTCAATTATATAAAAATTCCTGGGTATCAGCTAGTGAGAAATGGAAATCATAACTAAATGAGGGGAAAGTCACTTTCCCTTCCCAAGTCTCCTGTATTTCCCAGCTAATTATCCCTAATCCTGGAATATTAAATGATTTCCCTTAACAATATGAAATATCATCTTTATTCATTAGAGTTTGCTATGTGCATTATTATAAGATGTAGCAAATACCATGTAGTAAAAAATGTATTTTGGATTCTTTCACACCTAAGAGAGTATAGTTACTAAGAGAATGGGTTTAAGTATCAACATACATTTGCAAGCATAGGTGGAAAAAGGGTGTCTGTACATTTAATTACCAACTAGACCCTGTATGAGTGTCAAAGATGGTTAATGATATCATAGAGTGGTGGGATTCTAGCTGGAACTCCAGAGACTTGAGAGGATGAGTGGTTAGCTTATTCTGAGGGTGTTTAGACTCTGAATACCACAGTTCAGTCCCACTGCTTCATTGGCTACCTTTGTGCTTAGTTAATTTTCAGGTAAGTGAATTCACAACAGACCTACCTCTCTTTAAGCCCTGTCAAAACTGTAAATAAATGTACCAGTTATGTTATCAATGGGATGGCTGGGATTTTATTGTTGTACTTGGATAGAAACTGTGGATATGTGAGGAAAAAGTTTCCTAGTGTTAGTAGTCTTGGACACTTGAGTGTCAAAGCCCTACAGGCTAGGGTGCCCAAATCAGAGGAATATATTGCCAAGTTAAGAGAACCAGAGACTTAAGGCCCCTGGCCTTAGAAACAAAAACTTACAGCTATAGGTGCTCAGGCTTTACTGCTCTACATAACTTGGCGATTAGTAAAACTTCTCAGTTCTAAACAGCAGCTGATGACAATAACAATCAACAACAGTTAGAAGCAGATAATGTTACAACTCCTAGCATTAGGGTGTCCAGCTTCTCAGCCTTTAATGTTTGGTAGCACTCAGGAACTTTTCCAATGCCTGGGACTTGTAGTCGTTCACGCATCACTCAGCCTTCTCTAAACTTCTTTCACTATTCTGCTGCCACTGCCATCCTCTGTGCTGTTGATCCCACAACCTTTTCTATACTCCACTGCTACTAGCTCATTCAACTTCACTCAGAATAAAAAAAAAACAGCCAAGATAATTGCATTCTGGGAAAGCCTTTTATTGAATAGATCTAATGTTGTAACACCGGGGAGTGGGAACGCAAAATAGAAGAGTTTCTCCTAGCTTACTAAAAAATGACCTGAACAGCCTGGCTATATAGACAGAAAGAGATGTGCAACATGATTATGACATTCAAATGAAGGGTTACATTTGCACAAACGAAAGCACAGCTTCCAGTTCCACAATGACTGAATTCTTACTGAGTTTATGAGAAGATACTCTTTCCCACATCTTGAGTAAGATTATCTGTTAAGTCACCTAAACCTCATCAAAGCTTTTCTTGCCAGGAATGCTGCCTTCCAAGGCCAAAACATGTTTCCACAGCAAGGTTGACTGGTTGGGAAAGGTAGGATTCAGGTTTTTCAGTCTTTTGCCTGTAGGATACAGAAATGAAAAGTAAAAAGTGAATGACTATAAAATCATTCATGGCCATTTATAACTATTCCTCATTCATAGCAGACACCGTTCATTCATTCAAAAATATTTATTGGACTGGGGCTCTACAAATGAAACCACTTACCTCACAAGCCTAACTACCTGAATTTCATCACTAGATCCTAAAATACAAGGCAAGAACTGGCTCACTCCCAAAAGTTAGCCTTATATGCACATCATGGCAAATATGTTCCCAAACTTACACAATACCACAATAAGTAGATTAAAATAAAAAAGTATTAAAAACTGAATATTTTATAGGTAATGTTCAATAACAAATACAAAAAATCCCTCTGTACTCATGGAGCTCATGCCATATTTCAGAAAGACACAGAATAAATGATGAAATAGATTAAGTAGATCTGATAATGTGATGATATCTTGTTTGTACAAATAAAGCATGCTGAAGATCAGAGAGATGAAGGAGCAAGCCACAGCCACACCTTACTATAGTGGGAAATTACCAATATGGAGTCAGGTAGAAATATAAGGGTATTTAATAGGGAAAAGCCTTACTTACAGAGCAACCTAGCCAGCCATGCGTGGCAGTGGTCTGTATGCAAGCCCAAAAGTGAAATGGAAAGAGAAAATGCAGTCACCCTACGTCACCCTGACCACGCCCTTGCAAGTGTGGTCAGGCACAGCTGTAGCCAGTCCCTAAGTACGCGTGGCTACAGCTTCCCCTACACCTTACCTCACCTATGAGGTGATATCTTGTTTGTACAAATAAAGCATGTCTGAAGATCAGAGGGTGAAACTTGCCACTAGCTAACAGACAGACAGGAAGTGAGATGACTAGGCAGAGAAAGGATGATAGACAGGAGGAAACAGGAACTCGCTCTCTTTTCAGCTGGGAAGTTCTCGAGGAAAGGTGTGGCTGTGCCTTGCTCCTTCATCTCTCTGGCCTTCAGACTCGTTTTATTTGTACAAACAAGCTATCACCACATGATAAAGTTGATAAAGAAAACTTGTAGTTTTTTTTTTCTCTCTTTACTCTTTGGGAAGCCTGCTATCCAGCTCCCCAATAATCACATGGAGGCTTATTCTTTCGTATGATGCCCAGGCTTAGCTTGGTTTGTTTCTAGCCAGCTATTCTTAATTTAAATTATCCCATCTACTTTTTGCCTCTGGGATTTTATCTTTCTCTATTCTATATACCTTTCTTTACTTCTTAGTCCTTGTCTGGCTGAGTGGCTGGGTGGGCTGGCCCCTGATGTCCACCTTTCTTTCTCCTTTTCTTGATGTTTGATCTTCTCTTCCCAGATTTCTCCTCCTATTTATTCTCTCTGCATGCTAGCCCATCCTGCCTTGTTATTGGCCATTTATCTCATTAGACCAATCAGGTGTTTTAGACAGGCAAAGTAACACAGCTTCACAGAGTTAAACAAATGCAATGTAAAAGAATGCAACACATCTTTGCATTGTTAAATATTCCACAGCATAAATGAATGTAACACATCTTCAAATAATATTCTACAACAAAAACTCAAACAGGCAAAGTGACTAGGTGGTTTATTTGAAAGTAGGACAACTTTAATAAAAGGGATCCCAAGGAAATCTACCTTGAGAAAATGACATTTGAGCACTTTACACATGTGAGGTAATAAAACATGAACATGTCTGGGTTGGGGAGAATTCTTTGAAGAGGGGATAGGAAGTGAAACAGTTCCAAGGCAAGGATAAGTCAAGCTTATTCAAGAAGACATGGAGCTGGATTACAGTGATCAAGGAAAGCCTAGTAGGACATGAACTCACAGACATAATCTGACTTCTACTTACAAGATCTGCTTGCATACTGTAGAACAGGCTGAAGGGAAGCAAGAACAAGGATGATGATGAGGGGTCTATGAAGTTCATGAAGCTAACAGAATTACTCTGATGGATAAGATGTAGGATTCAAAGTTGAGAAAATATACTTGCATGGCACTCAACAGAACATAGTTCTGTGGAGGTTGTTTCATTGTTTTGGAGGAGGGAGTACATTTTGTTTGGGAGACCCACAGACTGTGTTCAGGATCCACTGGTATAAATCAATGAATTACCTTCTTGTATGGCATTCAGGAAGCTTTTTGCAATAAATGAACAATTGTGTTTTTTACTTTTCAGACAAAGCGGGCTTCAGACATGAAGCCTCTGAAGCTGTTCTGCATAGGACTGTTGTTGTACCCCGTGGTTTGTCTCTTGTTAGAGGCAGCTACTCCTTCAGCTTTACTTACCTTTGAAGTGAAAGAAAAAGCAGGAGTGAAATCCGGTGCAGTAAGTGTATTTGCTATTAGGATGAATGCTCCCGACTTCAAAAGACAAAAGATTCAAGTCTCAGGTCAGGAAAAAAATGCTTTCATGCTGTTTTGAAAAATGCTCTCTGAGGACAAGAGAGAAACTAAAGTTGTTCTGGGTGGACTAGGGAAAGGTTTCACAAGGGTAGTAAAATTTGTAAAAGAAAGTAAATATATAAGTGATAGTCAACTGATCTGGAGTGGGAACCCTTCAAAGCACCATTTCCACCAGACACATACATTCTGATCTGTTATGTTCTGGAGTTCAAGTTCCATAAGTGGTTGTGCCCTCTGAACTTCATGCAGTAGACAGTTTAGTTTTCCTCAGCCTCTTTCCTTGGAGTTGCATCAAATCCCCCTTCCCAAATGATCTAAGGGGAAGACCCAACATCTCCAGCTTCATATTAATCACCAGACTTTCCAAAAAGTTATTTTTCTCAATTGTCTTTACCCTTTCTAATCCTACAGGGCCGATGGCCTTCTTTCTCTTTCTGGGACATTAGTTTCCATCAGTCTCCTTTAACACTTTCAGATATACTCTAGGTAGCAACATGTTAAGATTGTCTTATTACCAATTCTTCTCTTTCACAAAGTAGAACTTCAGATAGTTGAGGTGGACATAATTCTTCCCATTTGGTTGATGACAAAATTATATCCACGTAAGAGAACCTTTCTAAAATAATGGTTTTAGCTTGAGGCAACACAGCAAAGTGCATATATCATGTGTTCTGGACAACTCTAAGACCATAATATCTGAGACAACTGTTTGATTGCCTTGACTTCTCAATGAATGCATATGCTTTCTGCAGGACTCCAGAGATCTTGGATGAGCAAGTTTAAAAACCATCTGTCAGATTTCTTCAAGAGCTCCATACCTCGAGCAGCCATTTTTGCTTTTTTTGTCACCATAGCATTAATGGGGATCCTCTGCTGCCTCACGTAAGCTACTATACAATGAGGAGATGAAAGAAGAGGAAATGTGAGGGGTTGGGGGATAGAAATACTCAGGCTTCCCCTCAACTGCTCATTTGAAATTAAGGGAGAGTTTGAAGGAAAAACACTCTGGTAGCAAAACTCCGAACAGCCTTTTAAAAAGCTTCAGTTCACTTAACCAAGCAGAACAATTCCCATACTAGAAAAAGCAAGAAATATCCAAATACTCTGGTGTAACATGAAAATAAAAGGCCAGAGACTGATATTGGGTTTCAAGCTTCAAGAAGAAGATCAGAGAAGCAAATCAGCCAACCACTAGCTCTTACCTCTACCTCAGACTGAAAGGGTGATCCAGCTAGCTCCATGAATCCTCAGACTGCAATCCTAGACTGCTGCCTCTTGTTAACGTTGCTGGAGACTAATCCTAAGAGACTGACTTTGCTTGTTCTTTTAATACCTCTCAAATCCTGGGGTTGAAGGCATGTGATCCCAAGTGCTGAGATCACCTTAGTGTGAGCTGTTTCTCTTTAGGACTGGATCACTTTCGTGTAGTTCAGTGTGGCCTTGAACTAACAGAGATCTATCTGCCAGTCTTCTGAGTCCTTAGATTAAAGGTGTGTGATGCCACCACCTGGCTCTATGGCTTGTTAGTATGGCTGCTAGGATTAAAGATGTGTATCATCAATGCCAGGCTCTATGACTTGTGGCTAGCTTTGCATTCTGAACTCCCAGGCAAGTTTTAATAAATCATAAATAATATATCACCACACTGGAATTTGAACTGGATGAAAGAAACTGTAGTCTTGTGGAAAAGGTGTGTTATGTATCATGTGTTCTAGAAGCACACAGGGAGGCAAGAATTTGCTATCCAGGGTATTGTAACCAGGTATTGATACCTATAGAAGGCAGAGGGAGTTATGTGAACTTCCTTACAAGTTTCAGCAAGCCTTGGTTGACTTCATCAGATTTGTCCTTTAGTACCCTGAATCACACCATCATAACCCCATTTTGAAAATTACTGGACAAGGGTTGTAGTAAGAAGTACAAGGCAGCCCTCTCCAACAGAGGCAAGCTTTAAAGGAGTTAACTGTAGAGGCTGTTTACCTACCGTACGCTGAGCAGCTAGAGTAACAAGTTTTTTCTCAAGGGAGCATCTGGGAGGCAGGTTTCCATATATATCACATGGTGGCTGTATTCTTTGTATAAGGAAAAGTACACAGATAATGAGTGGTAAGAAAGATCTTGTTCCTTCTTCTCAAGAAAAAATATGACAATCTGAAAGAAAACCCTCACTTAAATGAAACACAAAACACAAGAGACATTGATAAAAACATATAAAAGACATAGCACACATGATTTAAAAAGCAAGCAGAGCTTTAATGGAGATAAATTGTTTAGTGAAAATAACATTTAAAAATAGTCTATACAGGAGATACATGATTTCTTTGATAAAGAGAACAAAAACCAGGAAATATAAAACACTTAAAGATAATTTTTTCACTGTAGAAATAAAGGAAGTCTTGAGTCTATAGTCATAAAGGGAGCATGGTAGTGGACACACAGTGGAGTCTCAGTAACACTATTTTTTCTAGAACATTTCACAGTAAGGACTGCAATAACCTCTCTGTGCCTCTTTCTTTCTTTCTTCCTTCCTTCCTTCCTTCCTTCCTTCCTTCCTTCCTTCCTTCCTTTTCCTTTTTTGGTAGTAAAGCTTTTATTTCTTTTTCTTATTAATCCCAGTTACCTCTCTCCCCCCTCCTCTTACTCCCCCCAATTTCCCCTGACCCCCATTTTGCTCCTCAGAGAGGGTAAGTCCTCCCATGGGGAGTCAATGAAGTCTGCCCCATTACCATGTTGAGGCAGGACCAAGGCCTTCCCCCCTGTGTCTAGGCTGAGCATCCTGCATATGTCTATTTACCATGAGCTGCAGCTAAGATGAATGGTTAGGCCATAAGCTCATTACCTAAGGCAATCACCTGGGAAACCTGGTAAATTGCCCAGTGCTCTGGAAGCAGTGCTGGCAGCCAAGAGGACTCACTGGCTCTAACAAGTATACAAACATTCATAAACAAGGAGTGTGTAGCATGATTTATAATGTTGAGAAAAAAATCACAGAGACGACTTAAATGTTCATCAGTCTGAGCTGGTGAAATAAAACATTGTGTATTCATATAGACACTATAATGTTCATGTGGAAGGATACTTACGTGGAAACATATTTATGAAAGAATATTGAGTAAAACAAACAAATTATAATAAGCATACAGTTTACCCAAATTGTTATTAAAAACTAAATGTGGGGGCTGCAGAGATGGCTCAATAAGTAATTTGATCATACTCTACCACAACTTCTGAATACTACCTCAAGCACATTCGTGTGTGTGTGTGTGTGTGTGTGTGTGTGTGTGTGTGTGTGTGTGTGTGTGTGAGCTTTATGTCAATATATGTGAGTATGGTATATGTGTGTGGTACATGTACATATGTATGTTCTCAAATGGAGTGCCTGAGGCCAAAGAAGGGCATGGTGTTATATTGTATCACTGTCAACCTTATTCCTATTGAGACAGTGTCTTTCACTGTATCAGGATGAAGGGTAGGAACCAACAATCCCAAGACTCTTGTCTCTGTCCCCCATAGTACTGGATTACAGGTGAGCATGATTATGCTGATCTTTTTACATGGGTGCTGGGATCTAAATGTGGCTCAGTAAGCTTGCATAGCAGCAAGCACTCTTATCAATATAATCATCTTTCCAGCCCCTCTGCTTATTTTTTAGACAAAGACTCTTCACTGAACCTAGACTTTGAACATGTACACCAATCTCTGGCCTCTACAGAAATTTACAGAAGAGTATTCACTCCCAAATACATTTGCACATATGTGTGCATACACCCCCATACACACCACATCAAAAAAGATAATATGATTATATGGTAACACCAGGCAGATCAAGAGAGTGGATATGGATGCAAACAGTTCAGCATTAACCATCATATCTTCTTTTCTTAGCTTTTTTGTAGGTGAACCAGTCCACTGAAGAACTGGAAGACTTTTGGGGAAAGTGTAGTATCTGACTCAACAGATTCAAAGAGCTGGAGAATGTGCTATGTGCTTAAAGTGAGATTAAATTATTTTTCCATCTTAAAATACCTTTGCTTTATTTTTTCCCTTTAAAAGATGCAGTTGAGGGGGCTGGAGACATGGCTCAGAGGTGAAGAGCACTGACTGCTCTTCAAGAGGTCCTGAGTTCAATTCCCAGCAACCACATGGTGGCTCACAACTATTCGTTATGAGATCTGGTTCCCTCTTCTGGTGTGCAGATATACATGGAAGCAGAATGTTGTATACATGATAAATAAATAAAATCTTTAAAAAAAGATGCAGTTGGAAAATATAAATAGCTTTGCTATAGATTTTATTATGAAAGTAGTATTATTACAGAAAATGCAGAAAGAAAAAGTAGTCTTTATAATTATGGCACCTAGGATAAATGTTAACAATTTAATGTACCACCTTGTCTTAGTTAGATTTCTATTGCTGTAAAAAGACATAATGGCCACAGCAATTTTTATAAAGGAAAACATTTAATTGGGGCTGGCTTACAGTTTCAGAGGTTTAGTACATTATCATCATGGAGGTAAGCATGGTGACATGCAGGTAGACATGGTGCTGGAGAAGGAGCTGAGAGTTCTACATCTGGATTGGCAGGCCGCTGGAAGCAAGAGAGAAACCTCAAAGCCCATCTCCACAGTAACATACTTCCTCCAAAAAGACCACACCTACTCCAACAAGGCCACACATCAAATAAAGTTACTCCCTCTGAGCCTATGGGGGCCATTTTCATACAAACCACCACACTTCTTTTGAGATTTTTTTAATGTATATATTACTTGCTTCTCAAAGACTGTAAAACATTAGTTCTGTCTAAATAAGTGTTATAAAACAACAGGGCTCTGTCATCAATAATGTTTCGGGGATGCTAGATTAATCACATGCAAATATGCTCATTTACTCCCCAAATTTTAAGAACCTTTATAAACTGATTTTTTAACATAGTGAATATGTGGTTTAACTATATCCAAATATATTATTTAAGGTATTTCTGTGTATTTGGTATTATAAATGTAATGCAAGTAATAGTTTAAATTTTAATTTTCTTTTTCCCTCTTGCTGTTGAGTTTAAAATCATTCATTCCAGGAATGTGTGTTGAATGTTTTCTGTAAACTGGGCACTGTTCTGAGTATGTTACTATAGCTCTGCCTATTATTATTAGAGGATTTGTTACAGCCATATACTCTAAATATTATGTTATGTCTGTTAACATGGATTGCTAAAAGTAGAAATGTTGGGTTATATTGCATGATCATATTGAGGTTTTAAAATATTATTCCACATACTGGTTGTACCAATTCGCATTTTAGGCCCTCAGCTCTCCTTAAGGTATCCTTAAGACTAAGTTATTTTAGCTGGGCATAGTGGTGCACACCTTTAATGTCATCACCAGGGAAGCAGAGGCAGATGGGTCTTTGAGTTAGTGGACAGCCTGGTCTGTAGAGTGAGTTCCAGAACAGCCAAGGCTACATCATGAGAATCTCCCTGTTGAAAGAGAGGTTGTGATCATGTTATTTTAAAGTGGAGAGATGGTTCAGAGGTTAAGAGCACTTGCTGTTCTTCAAAGGACCTAATTTCAGTTCCCAGCACCCACATGATGATTCACAACTGTCTTTAACTTCAGTTACAAGGACTATGATGCTCTCTTTCTGGCCTCTGTGAGCACCAGGCATGCATGAGGTACACAGACATACATTCAGGCAAAACCTTCATACATATAAAATAATTTTTCATTAAAATAAAGTAAATTGGGGCTAGTGTCTCACTATATAGCCTTGGCTGGCCTGGAACTCACAGAAATCCTCCTGCCTTTGCCTCCCAAATGCTGGTATTAAAGGCATGTGCTACTATGTCCAGCTTAATTTTTTTAATCTTAAAAATAATGTTGTGGGGA